TTGTTAACGAAACGTGATGAATTTCACGAAAGGTTTCTGTGAAATACATTTTAATGACAAAAAATAAATGATACTACTGATGGCTATGCAACCAGGTTGTAGGTTAGCAGTTGGGAATGTTATATTTAATTTTTTTATTTAAAAAAAGCAACTAAATCACATTAGATTTGTTTATTGACCGCTGAAGTACAACTTATAATGAACCTCGTATTCAATTTTCAAGCATTTCCATTAGGTCAAAATAAATTACGTGTCCATATAAAACCGAATAAACAAAAAAAAAAACTTGAAAATGTCATATGCTTATAAATAGCTCAAATATTGTACCATTATCTAATATAAATGCTCTGTGTAAACGGAATGACAACAAAAACCAAAATCGAAAAATAAAACCGTCAATACCGTAAACTCTCTCGTTTTTTTTTCACATTTATTAAGAAAACTACTCGTTAAATAAATAAAAAATGTCTCTACAATGCACTAACTAGATCCAAAATGCAACGAAAACGGTCTCTTGTGATTTTTTGATCAGAACAAGATTACTGGTATAAAAACTCTCCTCCTCTGCTACTCACCCGACCGTCGCGATAGACAATCCGATACGGAAACGGGCACCGGCGCCACCCACCGCGGTGCTGCAATACACCGAGCGACGCGCCGGCTCATCGACGTCATTCCACATGCACTCCTGTGTCGGTACCTATTGTCGGTCATGTTAACCGTTAACTGTTTTACTGTTTCAATCGAAACAAAATTTTGTTTATCCTCGAAACAAAATAAATACCCGACGCAACCCAACGTAAGTACTGACTCACAAGGTGTTACTATGCCACTGTAATGAGCAACGTTGGATTTAATTTTCCTACGTCACTATAATGAAAGGTTAATTAAGTTTGAACATTTAAAATTATCAGGTTATTTTATAAAATACCATTGTACTGATCGTACTATGGTGTGTGTTTGTTTCCGTCTGTAAAAAACATTCCAAAAAGGAAATCTATTCCAATCAAAAAATGACAAGAGACCGGTTGTGTTGAGTAACCTGTTTTGTTGAGACATTATTGCTGAGTAATTAAACATTTTTTTGGTTTTTCAAGCAATTTTCCAAATAATCGGTAAATACCAAAAAATACGTAAGTAAAAACAGACAATATAAGGCTGTTAACATTTCGATAATTTAAATTTTAACGAATTATTTTTCCCCCACCAAAAATTTTCTGTTAATCAAAAAACCACAGGACACCTTTTATGTTGAATTTTTGAACTATTGACAGGAAATTTAATATTTGCAAATACTTGTTCAATAAAACTCAAGTGTTAATTGTCTATTGAATAGGTGTTATGCGAATAAAATTGTTTGACCAAACGGAAATGCTTAAAAATTTAACGCGAGGTACATTACAAGTTGTATCTAGTGGTAAAAAAAAAAGATTAGCATAAGGTAGTAGTTTTATTTATAAGCGTTTTAAAATTATTTTGATGAAAGTCGTAAATATTACTACGAAATTTTAAAACATGTATAGCTGAACTTACAGACATAAATTAAATTAATTTATCAATTCTATCTTGAAAACTTCCCACCTACAACAATGTATCACCTCTTTTAAAAATTTTTTTTGTCTAGCAGTGTGCAACTTTTTTATAAGAAATCTTCCTCCATAAATCAAAATATTACGTGTTTCGTTGAAATTAGAACCTAGCCTGTACATAAAGGACATTTTTTGACTTTCTAAGGAGTTTTCATAATAATTAAGAAAAACCGACAAAAAAAATATATATATAGGAAAATCGGAAAAATATTTTAACGATTTCAATATTTTTAATTTTTTCGATTTGTGTTGTCTTTTAGAATTTTAAGAGCAGTAACTTTTCTATAATTCTGCAATACACCGAACGGTGTGGCGGTACATTGGCGTTTTTGATTTTGTCTTTTTGTTGTATAACACGAATAAAAATAATCATAGAGACCTAAAATTATCACAGAATAAAATTGTTTGACTATACATAGTATAATAATTTATTAAAAATTTAGTAAAATATTATATTTTTGTAGTAAGTGATGAAAAAAGAGAAATTGGTAATATATTTTAATAGTTTTAAGAATTAATTTTGATAAAAATCTTAAAAATTTCAAAAAATGTACAACCGGATTTCGCTCGGAATCGTTTTTCGTTGTGAATAGTTTATCGTAGCTTACAGGTATAATTTAAATAACTTTATGTACCCTACTTTCCCAACTTTCTACCTAAATTTTACTTTAATTAAAATACCACAAGAGAATTTTATTGGTACGTTTTTAATCTGGTCGGTGAGTATGTAAGTCGTTTTTAATTTTTTTAGTAGGTTTCCAATGAGAAATACTAAAATATGATGTACTTTTCCGGTTTTTTTTTTTTTTGAAAACCGACACATTTTTCGTACGATCGAATTATTTTAAATTTTTACGAATTATGTATTTTTACCAGAAATATTGTTTCAATCGAAAAACGACAAGAGACCTTTTTACTTTTTTATTTGAATACATCGAATGTTTCGGAGGCACATTAACGTCGTTGCGCACGCACTCTTGATATTTACCTAATATTATTTTTTCGGTTATGTTTACGGCTCGGCTCGGCTTGCAGCCAAAATCAATTTTTGTTTAAAATCGTTATCCTTCGTATCCTTAAAATAAAACAAATGCAAAATAGAACGTACGACTCATAAGGTGTTATTTTGTGAAGGCAATATGAAAATATCGAAAATCCGTAGTCATGATTTTAAATTCTGAGCGTTTTACTATTTACTACTGTTAAATATGTGTATTTATTTTTGATTATATTTTTTGATTACTTTATGCATTTTACTTTTCCTATTACCCACGTAGAATAGTTTCACATACATCAACAGTATCAACACGTTTTTTTTCTTTTAGATTCTAAATTTACCGAGGAATGTATTGGTTTTCTATGAAGTGTTTGTGTTTTTTTTCAGTTGAAATCCTATGGTGTATTCCGATTATCGAGTGTAGCATATTTTCTAAAAGCAATTTTCATCTAGTTTGTGCATTGTTAGAAGGTTATTGTTTGATTTTCCTTGTAGTTTTCTTTATAATTTGCGAAAACGTATAAAAACGGAAAATATGTTGATTAATTTTCGTTACTCTCTGAGTTGCCATGAAAATAAGGGAATAGCTCGACTAATACTACTCCATTTAGAATCGTCTGTTTCGCTAACAATGATTTATTGTTACAAACATTATATTATAACTCAAATTACACTGTATATCTTACCTTCCAACTTACCCACGACCCACCAACAGTGACGGCTTACCCGCAAGCATTAGCATTATCACTTTTTATTTTTCTCATCAATTATGACGAAAACAGAAAAGGTTTGCCCATGTAAGTATTAAACGAAAAAAAATAATAGGTAGGTAATAAATTAAAAACTTGTGTCCATCCTCGGTCTTATAATTGCAGTTTACCGTTGTTGCCCGTACATTTTTTAAAATGCATTTTCTTTAATTTAATTTAAATTTTTAGAGATTGAATTTTGAATAAATCCTTTTAATAAATTCTACTTGTGTCCCAAGGAATATGTGTACAACTTTTTGGTGCCAATTGGTTCGGTGAATTTTGAGGCTATAGATTACGAACGAATGAACATTATATTATGTATAGTATGTAACAGTAATATTGGTTTTATTTGAACTAAAAACGTACGACGTATTATAATATTATAGGTATAGTTATAATTAAAAATCATATAATAAGTAATTAATACAATATTTTAATTTTTTTTTTTTTTAATTTTTATTATCAACGCGTCTTATTTAATCGCGATAAAAAATAAATAATAATAATAATAATAATAATAGTAATAATATATAGTCTTAAAATATATATTACATCAAAAAAAAAAAAATATAATAGTTATAAATAAATGTGGTTAGATCTTATAATATAATAATATAATTGTGTGTATTTCCATTTATTGATAATTATAACTAAAAACGGAGTTAATAAATAATTATAGGATCTCTAGCATCACAACACGAAAAGAGATCCGACTACAACAAGTAATACATAATATTGTATTTTACAAATCACCGGTTAACACAACATTATATTGTAATAAAATACGTAAACACATCACAAAAGTACATTGCACAAAATTTGTTAAGTTTCCGAAATAAAAAAAAAAAAAATAAATACAAATTTAAATGGATATTACTGCGCATGCATTCCACTCTTTCGGTTTTTTTTCATGCTTGTAATAACGTTTTTTACTAAAAAATATGAAGACGCATTTTACACTACTACCATGTATTATAATATTTTATATATATATTATACGTATATATACATGCAAACGTCACATAATAATAATAAAATTATAATTTTTATGCCTTTGACTAAAATAACGACCGATTGATCAAAGCACATTGTAATATGCGAATGCACTGCAGTTAAAAGACGTTCGTGTAGGTTTTCAAGATTTCCAGATCGGCGACGAGACGCGTACTCGGTTCGGGCCGAAGACGAAATGTATAACCGGGTTGGTTTTAAGAATTTCTAGGCGTGTTATATAGTACAGAAAACCTACTTGTTATTCCGAACCGGCCGCTGCGTCGATGAATTTAGTATACTAAACCTACTGAAGCCGGCGACTAGTTGATAGCCTACTAGCCCACTAGTCTTTTTTCACTAATTTTTTGTACACCTTATGTACACCTTATCCTCCCTCCCCCGAAGTATGTTTTTATGAACGCACCTGTGGTCATGAAATGTAAGAATATTATAAAACGTCGTGACCGGAAGTAGCCTAATAAGTCGGAAAAACGAATAAAATTCATTCCTTCGCACTTGTCCAATGTTTAGGAACCCTAAGGACCGGCGGAATGTTACGTTACATATACTCGGGCCCGTTTAGAAAAATCCATCAAATAACGTTACTGTTGTGCCAAGCACCCGAAATATCTGGGCGTGGTTTCAGATAGAACATTCACGTAGAAAGAACACCTAACCAGACTATTGGCAAAGTTAAGATCCGTCAGAGCATCATCTCATGAGAAGCCGATGTAAATACGTTGCGTATAAGTACGTTATCATTAGTATACTCAACAGCTGAGTATTGTGCCCCATCTGGATTAATAGTGTTCACACAAAGAATGTAGAAAAACACCTTAATGCAGCTATGCGCACAATATTGACGGATTGACGAAATCCACACCGCTAAAAGGACCACCAGTGTTTAGTAACGTTGCTCCCCCAAAATTATGTAGAGAACACGCACTTCTGCAAGAATTTAACAAGTATGCTAATAGTCCTACCTTCCCCATACACGCAGATCTGGCCACATTAGAGGATGTTTAACGGCTCCAATCCCGAAAACCATCTTTGAGAAAAGCAAGGGATCTCACCAGGGAAAAATTTAATATAAGTTCTAGATGGGAAAATGATTGGATAACAGAGAATCCAGAAGATCAAAAACTGGTAACTAATCCAAATATCAAACAACCAGAATTCAAGCTCCAAAGAAATACCAGAGTAACACTGAACCGTATCAGGACAGGCACATGATGATGGGGATTGCGTGAAACGTATGACTGAGGTCATGAATCCCAGACGATTAAGCACATTACCACTGAATGTCCGATCCGTGCATTTAAAGGTATCATGGGAGATATCGAGGGAAGAGGGAAGAGGCGGTAGAAAGAATGGAGAAAATGGATTTGAATTGCTTACATTAACCTACCACGTATCGGAAAATATTTTTAGGTTATTAAAGAACTATTACTCTGTTTCATACTAATTTTATACTTTATTTATTATCACTTTTATCTTTATTGACCCTTCGCACTTTTACGCATGCCATATATTTTATTGTTAATAACCATCACTACAAATAAGCAAATGCTTTTTGGTGCTGCTCAAACGCCATACGAAATATATACTGTTGTGCCGTGGAATTATTTTTACGGCCGTAATAATGACCGTGTAAACGTTACGCCGAATATCAGTGTTAGTATATTGTATCAGTGTTAGCTTTGTTGATTTTATTATTTCACAAACTGTGACAATTTAATACCGGACTCGGCTATTAACGATCAACCGAATAGCATAGCACGGCGAAACGCTTTTCATTCGCCCTATTTGTATCGCATTTTATTTTTACGTTATGACCGCAAGTATCCCGGTATGAATACACACAACTACTCTCTGTGAAATGGACAATTGGAAATTTAAAGTGGGAGATCGAGGAGAAAAATCTACTCCCCCCTATGTATAATTATATATTTTACAGGCCACAAGGTGTCTTACGGTGTTATCTGAACGTTATGGTAAATCAATCGTTATTTTATTTTTTTTTTATTTTTTTTTCAATCGGGTTTTGGGGTTTTTTAGTCAGTGGGATACACGTAGAGGAAAACATGATTTTTTCATCCCGTAATCACTGAAAAAAATTAATAAATTTTTTCACTTTTCAAAATTTTCGAAATAGCCATTCTGTAAAAAATATTATTCTAAAAATTTGAATGCATCATACATTCATATCCGATTAATATATTTTCTAAATAATAAAATATAGCCGCTTGAAAAATGGCGTGAAAAACAATTAATTTTTAATAAAAGATATAAAGTTATTTTATTTTTTTTCAGTGATTAAGGGATGAAAAAAACAATTATTTTTCTCTTCATATTTGTTCCACTGACCAAAAACCCGATTGAAAAATATATATACATAACGTTTATATAACACTGAATATTAACTATATACTTTTATTTACGAATTTCTATGTTTTCCAATCAAAAATGTGCTGGTATCAAAAAAATATAAAAAACAACACAAACCACTAAAGTATGAAAAACGTTGGATCATCACCTAAACAGATACAAATCGGCTAATGATAATACTATAAATATTATTATAATAACTAGTTATTTGATTGCAATGACAATTGTAGGACAGATCGAGTTATAAATTACGCATTTATCTTTTTTAGGTGAACGTTGCCCAATATGAGACGAAATTGGATGTCTCCCTCTTTAGCCAAATCCTAAATACGCCATCGGAAACGAACAACCGCAAACGATACGAAAAAAAGTGACAAAAAATTGTCCAGAGCACTCAGTTGAGATTCGAACCTACCTACCTATATTTTAAATGATTTGACGGCGGGTCGAATAGGCAATTCAAATGATTCAAAGGTGGAGAACTATAATATACAATATTAAAGTTCGTGGTGAAACATTGGGGCGTAAATCGCTTTTTATGCTATTCAATTATTATTATCCGGCTCGTCGTTCTCGTCCTTATCTTATTCAGATCATTCCCCTTTTCTAATACGCGATCGTTTTTATTTTATTTGAATTTCTTTTATCCGGCACCTGTCGTTTATTTCGCTCTGTGGCGCATCGACAAAACGTTTAATTTGTGTTCGAAAATGCAATGCGTCTCTGACACAACCGAGACAAACAAACGCCGAGGAAAAAATGTTTCACTGGAATCGACTCCGGGAGAAGATAATGAAATGTAAATCGACTCATTATCAATCGCGGTTTTTCTCCGACAAATTATAAAGTACACAACACTATATTATAATTGAATCCCGAAGAAACGATTTAAACTTTTTTATGCTACCCGGTAACCGAGTTTCAAAAATATTGCCGTACCTATATAATTATTGTGACGAATGTGACGTTTTCGAATCAATAATACTTAATCGTTAATGGTAAACATTTTTGTGTAAAAGAAATTGGACAGAAGCGAAAAAAAAACAATTTGCTACACGAATCAAAAACGAATTGGCCACGTTTACAGAGTACGAATAAAATTGTATTATAATAAATAACACGCGCATTTTTTTTTTTTTTTTTAATCGTTTTATTAGGTTTCGTTTCTGGAAAAAAGTAAATAAATCAACTTTTAAACCTCTATTTACACATATAATATTATAAACACATGAAATAATATAAACGTAACTAATTATTATTATTTTTACATAATGTACACGTCGAGAGTATGATATCATTATTTAGAAACCATAATTTCGCGTTTGTGGGAAATTGGTGTTCAGAAGCCGAACCGGCCACATTTTATAACGAATCGAAATTGACTGTTAACATACGTGTAATCCAACAAAATTTATTAAACATTTTCGATATTCCAACAATACCGACGTCCCGAACAGGTTATAATATTAATTCACCTACAGATTTCCGAAATGCTCAAACGTTTCTAATATTAATATGTGCTGCTATAGTGCAATGATTCCCAACTGGTGGCCAGTAGACTCGCTTCAAGTGATCCGCATCTCAATGTTGGTTAGTTTACTGTATCGCTGATTTTGTTACGTACGTATTAATTATGAATTAAAAAGAAATAAGTGATGGGGAAAATGGAAATAAGTAGTGGTCCGTGGTGGAAAATGTACAATAGTAGTCTGTGTCTTTATGTTTTGCATTTGAGTTGGGAACCACTGCAGTTAGGGCTTTAAATTTGTAAAAATTGTGTAGTTTATAACAGGTTTTTTTTTGCTCAAAGGACGTAAAAAACGAAACCTTTTTTGTTTTATGATAAGGCGCTAGTAGAGTATTAAACGTCCAGATTATCGAACATTGTTAAATGTGTTTTTAGCATTCAATGAAAACAAATAACGTCCGTCAACTATTATAACTCGGAAACAAATCAAATTATAAGGTTGTCTACATACCTACAAACTTACATATTATACTTACCACTTAACTATACGAAAAAAAAACTTAACAGCTGGCGACTTGGTATCTGCAAAATTGAAAATAAAATAATAATATAATAGTACGTATCACGACATGCCCACGATATTCAGTTGTACAATTATAATTAATTATAACATAAAATGTACGTGTCCGTGTCACAATTATACATTTTCCATTTACACGGTTAGTGTTTGTTCGGTGACATATCAATCTGGGCGGTCTGGAGCGGCCGCGGCCGACGACAGGGGCGACCGGACGGCCCTGCTGCCGCACATCCTCAGCTGATGTTGCAACTGTTGCAGCCACCACGGCGGTGCGGACAGCGGTGGCGGCGGTGACGTGGACGAATACTGCGGCCAGCCGCACTGTACGGCCGACAATACGGCAGCGGTGCCGACGGCCGGTTCCGGTAGAACCGGCAGCGGTTTTCATATGACGTGCTGCGGCTGTAGGCCGGCCGGCACAACCCGTTCCGGTTTGACGAGCAGTGCGATGGGCCGCTTGATGACAGCTGCCGCCGCCGACACCGTGGACAGGGGCGGTGGCGGTAGCCGGGCCGGCGGTGACGGAGTGGACGACGGTGTAGATGACTCGTGCGCCGGTCTGGGGGGTGGTGGTGGCGGCGGCAGCGACTGGATGGTCACCACAGGACCGCGTTCGGTATGCCGGCCGCACTCGGTACAGTTACCCGGGCATCCGCCGGCTATCTCACCGCTAGCCGCGGTGGCCGCGGCGGCGGTCATCATCGGCCACGCGGTGGCCAGCGAAACGGCCCGCGAGTACAGGGAATTGCCGTAGAGCGCGTGCAACGCCAGATCGTGAACTGCTTTTCCCGCCGTGGCGGCCTCGTTGCCACCACCGGCACCGCCGCCACCGGCCACGACCGACAGATCCTTGGCCACTTGCTGATAAAACGAAGACGAGTAGTGGTGATGGTACGGCGAGAAGTAAGCCCGCGGAAACTTGGCCACGGCTGCCGCTGCCGCGGCTGCTGCGGCGGCGGCGGCCGATTGTTGTTCGTCGCCACCGCCGCCGGACGAATCGTGTTGCGGCAGCAGATCACGCACCGAATACGATATTGGTTTCGCCGTGACCGCAGCACCCCCGTCGTTTTTCTTCTGCACCATTGTCTTGGGCTTGCGTCGTGGACGGTACTTGTAATCCGGATGCTCCTTCATGTGCAGTGCCCTGCGAACAACATGCACACGAAATTCCGTCATTACGCAATCGTTTTTGTTATTGTCAACAAAATATTTCAACTTCAAGATCAATATTTTAAATATTGTGGTAAATACGTGTTTATATCAAAGTAATTATTCTTTCAAGCCACTGGATTTTTCAGATTTGTTAACAAAACTACAAACAAATTTAAATGTTTAAAATGGTCTCCTAAACTTTAGATTAAAAATACTATAAGAATGTTTGAAAGTCCCTATTGAGTAATTTTCTCGGGAACCATTCCTGGTAGAAAAGTAAATAGTCAGCGGGCAAAATAACAAAAAAGACGGATATATTTCAAAAAAACGTGGGTGCAGCCACTGTTTTAGGTGGGAAGTCGGAAAGGTAAGATACAAAAAAGAATTTAATGTATAACTGGAAGCTACGATAAAGCATTGCTAACCATAAAACTATTCTGAGCGAAGTTCAGTTGATAGCGATACTTTGTCAACAACATAAATGTCCAATTCAGAAAAAGCGCTATCATTGTAAATCGGATCAAAATTGATGGTAGAAATGTTGTCCGCAGAAATAAAAAATCGCAATATTTTACTAATATATTTTGTACATTTTCCCGTTTTCCTCCATTTTTTTCGGTTTTTCACATTTGATGAGAAAACTCATGAGATAATTGAAAAATAACCTGCATAAAGTACCACTCGAAGAAAATTTTCTTTCAAAAAATGGCCTACATCGTATACATCGCAGTTAGCTTACTAGTAGAATTTTTGTACACAGTATAAAAGAATAAACATCTTTTTAAAACCAATGCATTCTTCGCTACACTCAGAATATATATATAAAAAAAAACACGTATTTACTAAAGTCGATTGTTTGTTTGGATCAGAATTTAAAAAACAAAAAAAAAAAAACGAATGAAAATATAGAATGATTTTTTTTTTTATCGATAATTTTTATTGATTTTTGAAAATAGCCACGTTATAAATAAACAAGTAATCCGTGTCATTATTTCGCCCATCGGTATCGATCGTTATATTCAAAATAATTTTCGTAAGCTTATAAAAAGTTACCATTCGCGTTTATTCGCCGATTTATAAAGTTATTACACGTCATTAATAGCTATACAAACCGAAATCGTCAGTTCACAGTTCGTGCCAGAGCAATAATGTTTCATTTCTATACTACGCGTAACTAAAGGCATTAAGGCGATACGATATTTCTGCTCGCGTAATATATAAATGTATATATTTATTTTTTTTTTTTTTATTAATCCCGCAGTTTTATCGAAAGAACTGTCGCAGGTTATTTCGTAAAACGTTCGGTATTTACGTGTTATTATTTACGGAATTCCGTGCGAAAGAAATAAAAAATCCAGAGGGAGGGGGGGAGGGTGTGACACGAATTTCGAAATATCTAAGTGTATACATTATCGGATGTTTTCAACGGTGTCTGTGTTGAACCACTGCATCCAACATATTTATTATTATTCTCCCTCCCACGCGTTGTCGTTGCGATAAAGGCGAACCGACGGCTGCCGGAACGCGGAAGACCCGTTTTGAGGAATCGATCTCGCCTATTCGGCGTGTAAAAAGTCTTGTAAAAGATTTCCCGCGCGTTTGTGTTTGTCGCGAAATACGCGTTTCGAGGCGCCGCCAGACGTTTAAAGGCGTTTCGGCGTCACCGTCACACACCTGTCTGCGGGTTTTATATATAGTCGGTGCCCTATTTGCGCGCGAGGACATCGCGGATATTTGTCCAGGACCCGTGCGGATCGTCTACCTATTGGATTTAATTATTCTTTCTTTTAATTTTGATCGATCGTCAAATGTAAAGAGCACCGAAAAATTGCACAAACAGTCGTAAATATAGTTGTTGATATATGAACTATACTTCGCACTGTCATACAACAATGTGTAGGTGTACATACGTGCAAGTATGGCTGGTCTGAATGGATAATGGTTAGTTTTGTTAGCGCATTACCGGATTTTTTTTTTTTTTTTGCTTATCGACCTTAAAATGCACTATAAAAGCCAGTGGGCATCTGAATTTTTATTGGGCAAGTAAGCCTGTTTTGGTTGTTTCAATCGCGCGTGGATTTCAAATAAACACAATATTATGTTCTTATCTGCACAGTTTGTTTAATCGTCTAATCGAAATTAAAAAATTGTAGGAAAAATATTTACGGCGGCGTAACAACGATTTAATTGTTTTTCATTTGTACATAAAATTACGTTCAACTGGTAAAGAAAAGATTTTCCCTAAATGTTCAGAACTCTAAAGTTATTTCTAAGAAGTCACACAATCATTAAATTTATCAAAAATAACTATTTATTTCGTTTTTATTTGTTTATTTAAATAAATAATTCTAAAAAAAAAAAAAACAATACATTGTTATTGAATATATCTATATGTATGCTTTTATAGCTCGTGTAAAATTAAATTGTTGAAATTATCTGGTAGTTTCGAAGGGTTCATTTATGAAAAATTTCAACGATTTACGATTTTACGATGTGATTTTCGGTTTTATGTGTTTTTGTGCCGATTATTTTTGAATATTTTGGTTTTTTTTTTTTGAGAAATGAGTACCTATTTACAGTGTAAAAAAAAAAACTAATAAAAAGACATATTTTGTAAATACGATACTCGCGCGAACTTTAGACGTGATTTCGTAGAGGTAAAAGTTCGAGGGAAATCTTTGTTCACCCGGCCGAACGCGGTATCGCGTGGAGAGCGAACAAATTAAGAAATTAAAAAAAAAAAAAAAAATCAAAATCACGATTAACTCTTATGCGATTACACTTATAGCGGGTGTCTTGTTGGAAATGTTCACAGCGCGGAAATTTTTCCCGAAATCTATACGAACACAAAGCAAGTGTTAAAATACATTACAACGCGGCGTTTGGAACGCACTCGTAAATAATACGGAAAATATGCGTGCCGGATACCGCCGACTCAATGTAAACATTATAATATTATTATACACGCATACAATACAAGTTCCGGTGTTACGAACGGAACGTTCAAATCGAGTTTTGGTTATTATTGCGTTTGCTCGTCGCCGGATCGCGCCGCGGTATGGGCCGCTGACACGATGTTTGTTTTAATTTGAAAAAAAACAACGTCTATTGTATTATTTCCTTTTTGTTGTTTTTCGTTATTACATTACACTCGCATTGTGGCGCGCGTGTGCGCAAAGTGTATCAAGTTAGATTTAGTTTACATTTTCTTCGCACAATACCTATGTACGTATATACACGCCGAATGCTGTTGTACCGCGACGTCTTTTTGTATTACTACGGCGCAGATAACGACAATATTGTTTGCCGAATAATATTTTTGTTGTTGTTTCATTAAAAACCGAGTTTTATGTGTCGCGGCGGCTCCCGTCGCGCCTTTTGTGGAGGGTTCGAATAAATACGATGCGAAATATTACGTTTTCGAGTGTTCTTCGCGCGCGCCGCCATCAACAAAGCGACGATATTGTGTATTATTGTCTACACAGAAATCGATTGTTGCAGATAAACATCTTATTATTTCGTTGTCCGCTTAACATTAAAATAATTAAAAATAAACACAATAAGCACGAATATTACAGGTGTACGGTCCCTCGGGGTTCGATCAATTGCATTCGTTTTTTTAATATCGTCCGATACAATAATAAAAGCGGGTAGATATCGTAAATGTGATGGAAAGTGAAAAATAAAACCGGACGAACTCCGCGCCGACGGTCTGCCGCCGTTGTTGAAGGCCGGGGACGTTCGGAAAAGTATTGGGTAACAAGGTTATTATTAGTCAACTATCTTTTAGGATTATTACATTAAAACGAAATCTATCGGTTAAACAGTTGAAATGTTCACAAGTTAAGTTATAAGTTACTATTTTGTATCGATAACGTTTAACTCGACTAGTTAAAAAAAAACAAAAAAAAAACAAAACAAAACCGGTCAGAATATAGCTTATAATTATTTATCTTAGTTTTGTATTTTGTTAAACAATTTTAATTATTATTTCTTAAAGGTTATTTAAATACGGATTTTCCATATAAAAATATTGTTTGCGTTTTTAATTTTTCACAAAATTGACGTGTATTCGAGATTTCTGTTTCTCGCGAGCCCGTTAAATTCACGTGAGTATAAAAATAATTTTGAAAAACATATTTTTAGCTACCTACTGAATTCCGCGTAAAAACGCGTGCAATATTTTCCGATTATTATCGGAAAATAGAAAAGAAAAAAAAACATTCATTATTATTTTTAATTGAATTATTGGGAATTGTTATTATTATTATTTATTACGAACAGACCTTTGATATTATTTCTGTATTATTCAACGTTTGATAACTGTTTTTGAATTTCCCCTAAAAAATTAGAGACTATTGCACTATATTGTGTCTGTTATATTATATAGGTTAATGTTGTAAAATCGATTATAATGTCGTTACACTTTTTATATTATATAAAATCCGATTTTGTGGTATTCATTTTAGTATTAGGGTGCATTAGCGTATTATCGAACTTAAATAAAATCTGTATAAGCTTGGAAAGCTTAAAACATTTTCTGTATTTAAATGTTGGTTTTTCTTTGATATTTTAATTTTCAAACGAGTTTCGGACACGTGAAATATTACAATTTAAAAAATCATCGAATCTGGATTTGAAATAAATACACCGAAACAAATATACAAACACAGACAATGTTCTTACTTTTGAGTTAGTTACGTTTGTTAATTGGCCAGTACACTATTGCACATAGGCACGACTAGACAACCAACTTTATAAGTGCTAAAATAATAGACGCGTAAAAGACCCGTGGGGACAATACCCCCACAACCCCCTTTGCACGAAACTTGCAGTGAGCAATGTCACATGTAATTTACAATTTGCCTATAAAAATGTATCATAACTTATGTATCTTAACTTTATTTTTTATACACAGATGCATTGCCTGTATTTTGTTCTGTTTATTAATAAATTATGAAATACATCGATAAAATATTTAGTAGACACTATAAAAAGCTTATTGGATATTTTCGAGGGTACTGATTTTAAACTTGGGTTACTAAAGACCGCCTAGTACCCCATTAGTTTCGCTTATGCTCTTATGTAAAAATGACAGCGCAAAATCGGTCAAAGTATATATATAACGACATTAAAACCGTAACAAATGTATACATCTTTTTTCTGGTACTCTCCCTCTGGACCTAAAGAGCTTAAACTCGAGAATCAGAGGCGTTTTTATTTATGTACAATTTTGTTTGAATTTCCATATGAACTTCGCCGTGTTGTTACGAGAGGACGGTTATTTTTTTAACTTTCTATATCCCTGCAGACTCCCAAATGAAGTCAGTGGGATGAAATTTCGTTACAAATACGGCGCATATATCGAGAATGTGCTTTTTGGTAGTTTCAACTTTCAACCCATCTGCTAACCATTTTTATGCTCAGATGTTTTTGACATTTCACACTTCACGTTTTTGCAGGAAATAGCGGATTTTAAATACCCATCATTATGGATTTAAGAAAGTAGTGTGGTTTACATGTTTAAACGTAAATATAATTGTTATCTAGGATGTGACTTTAAAAGGTTTGAACTTTCGATCTCGACCCTACCGTCTGTTTTTGTGTTAGCAAAAAATCACGAAATCAACATTATTAGTTTTGAAAAAAAAAAAATGTATCAATTCTTTATCATTACCGGAATGTTATGGAAAGCTAAATTGCACTTTACCACACCCCTCTCTAATTTAAAATTTGTTTTTATTGAAAATACGTGATTTTCAACGCTTATTTAGTAAATGTTAGAAATTGTACTGCGAAAACTATTATTTAAGATGTTATAGCAAAACACTTTGAGACATCGACAAGTAAAAACATTATTATTTTCGATTTAAATTAGTGAAATGAAGTTTAGGTTTATTCTTAAGATACTACCCTACTTACAACAGTATCATGTTGAAAATTCCGGGGTAAATAAATTGAAAATTTAAAACTTTTTATATTTTAGGATCGGCCTATGGTACTCATCAAATGTGGAGTCTTCACAATTACTTTTATGTACAATATTCATGATATTTTTATCAATAATATTGCTAAAAGTTCAACATACAATCATTTGAAATATTGCTTTAAAATAAGTATAAAATTATGATTATAAATAGTTTCGGACGTAAAAAAAGAGTTCCTGAATAAAGTTGAATTTAAAAAAATTGTTTTTCGATCCTATTATTTATGAACTCGAACCATAAAACCTGACTTTTGGGGGCGGGGCCTTTGTAAAGATTGCAGCCGACGGGCCCTATTGAAGTCAATTCGACGCCGATAATATTATTATAGTCTTATATGCTCGAGTAGAGGTACCTATCATTTTTTTTTCTCCCCGTTGCGTTAAAATATTATTAAACTCGCATACCCGTCGACCCGTCAACAAAACATAAATTGTGTATGTATGCACACGATATGTGTATAATATATAGGTATAGAATTTAAGAGAATTCTATTATTTCGAGTTCCGGTTCATACCGCGGGTCGAGATTGGAAATCTGCAACTTCCGAGTGTATATATATATAAATATGCATAAATAGTGGCGATGACGGTGGTGGTGTACACTGCACTACTTATGTAACGCACCCGGCCGTCGCCGTTTATCGCGGTTAACAGGCTTTTATTTTTTACGCTTCTGCTTCGTCCGCGATATTGTTAGTATTTATGTTACATACGCTCACCTATACGCAACATCGCGAGGGCCGCCCATTGTTTGCCCGTATTCAAAAAAAAAAAAAAAAAAAAAAAATAAGGAAAAAGAAAAAAAGATTTTATATTGAAAGTACATAACATATACACTCGTACATAATAATATTGTGTATACTGTATAGGTGATCTTATCGGACGACGAGGCGAAAAAATATACGAGAAGAAAAAAAAAATCCGCCGAGTACTTGTCGCACACGCATCAATTTAGTGTTCCGCAGTGTGCATTGTACTCGTAGTTATACATAATAATAATAATATTCCAACACGCTCCGTTCAATAGTGACACGTATTATAATAATTGTTGTTGAAGGGATTCGATTTATTTTCGCCCAACACGCATAATATTATAGCCGGTACGCAGCAAAACAATAATTATTCGGCCCTACGGTTTTCTGTTCGTCTGCCAGATCGATCGATGATTGTATACAGTGACGAAACGTTATAAGGACGTTATTCGCACATCTACTGTCTCGGTCCAATTGCCGGGTAACGTGCAAAAATAATGCTTACACGAAATAAATGAAACCGGCTTGATTATGATTTTAGAGCAATAGCACCTCATGTAAAATATATAAAAAACAATATTTTGGAGGGAATGCCATAGGGTTTTCCGTATTGTTCAAAATATACAAAACATTTTATTTGTTTTTTTATTTTTTAAATAACTGTAACTTTTTGGTATTTCATAGGTCAGAAAAAATTCCCTCTAAAATATTGTTCTCTATACATTTCAAAATAAGTACTTTTACTCTAAAATCAAAATTAAGCTAGTTTTACTTATTCTACCTAAGCATTGTACTTTCATGTTACACGGTAGTTGGACTGAGACAATAGATACGGGTATTACGTCTTCTTAAGAATTTCGATTACAGATTCGAATACAGCAGTATGATATCAGCCGGACTGCTTTTTCGAATTGTAGTCCTCGATTATCAAAAGTTTGATTTGAAAAAATGAAAAAAAAAAAATTACCTACATGAAAAGAAACTCTGCTGTGAATATTTGTCTTTGGACATCAAATAAAGAAAATTACCTCTCAGAAAAGGTGCTATATTCGATACTTCGGATTTTTTGCAGAAAAGAAATTCATAGATAGAAAAAAAAACCACACACATGCGTCATAGTAAAACCAATTGCTATGCTCCGAATATTAAAAAAAAAAAAAAATAACAGGCCAATCTCGTGATGTACTTTTCGCCAAATTCACATTGATGTTGATCAAATAAATAATTATCTAATTAATTCGAACACAAAATGTTTGAAATAAATTTATTTGAAAGCGTTTATTAAGTGTTTTATTTGTATACATGCATGCCGTCACTATCGACACATCATTCAACTTTCAACCGTCACACTTTTCATTATTCTTTTTTAGATTTCGAATTGAGCGAAGAAGATTATGGTTTACTAAGATTTTTTTTTTTAGAAATAGAGTTATCATTACAGTAGTCCAATAAAATATCGTCATAGTGTTTTATCGTTTAGCCAATAATATGTCTATTGTATACAAAACAGACGGTGAAAATTTCAGTTCTATGGTTTTGACGGAAAGCTGCAGCTCTATTCAGGGACGTTTGGTTTTGTGTCTGCAGGTAAACAACTCTGGAAATCTCGCTCCGTATACGAAAACTTTATAGGAATATGTTCTTTAGCATTTTTTCGCCTTTTCGGCGAGTCGTTTATCGCGTAGTTTTCTCGACAAACGAGTTAAACCGTCGGTTTCTCGTATATTATACGTTTTCGTCGATTTCCGGGACGCCGTCATCGCGGGGAAAACGTCACTGCATGGATCGTTTATCGTCGGCGAGTTATCCACAGATATTAGGCGTAAATTAAATCGGTCTATGCGTTTCAAAGATCCCGTCCGTCGTAAGTAACTGGCGGCGCGTGATATCGCGACTATTTCAGATTCCGAGTGGAGCAAAGAAGCTTATGGTTATACAAAGATGTTTTTTTTTCTTTCTTTCTTTGCACAACTTTTCTACCAGCAATTTTGCTCAGACTTTTAATAATAGCAATGTTTCTAAACGGAAATTTAACTAGCGAGGTACTTTAATGAGGTCATTTTTCGATTTTCCCAAGAGTTTTCCTAGCAAATGTGAAAAATCGGGATAAAACATGGGAAAACCGGGAAAAACGAAGGAAAACAGGGAAAATTGGTATAACAAATTTTATTAAAGAAAATATATAAAGCGTATTTAATTATTTGACTACAAAATGACATAAATATTGTTGACAAAGCATCACCATCAATTGAACTCCGCTCAGAATCGTTTTTTCGTAAGCAATGGTTTTTCGTTGTTTACGGATGTACATTAAATTCCCGTCTATATCCTCCTTTTCAAACTGCCCGCCTACACCAGTGGCTGCACCCGTCCCCATTATCTTTTTTTATTTTTTTTTTTTTACTCAGGGGGGAAAAATAACGTTCACGCGACAACGCGTACCCACTCTATAAACACGCGATAATAATAATAATGTGCCACGTCGTCGTAGACACCGTATACGTATATACACGTTTGTAAGTACGTACGTATACAATAATATGACGAATAGAGAGACGAGGTGTAGACGAGACGTTGCGTACAAGTGTATAATAATAGGCGCGCGCGCTACACTATACAGGGCGATTATCGCTCTACTATATATTGGAAACGCTCGTTTTCTCGGAGAGTATTGAATTTTTCCGGAACATCCGGAACATTTTTGAGAAACAAGCAGCTCTACGATTTGATATTTACGCATATTTTTCGGTTCGTTTATTTTCGTGGAAGGGGGGGGGAGGTAAAACCGCTACCCCATACATTACCGCCGCACAAATGACGCTGCGCTATTGTACACATTTTCCCCAGCCCGGCCTAAACCTAAAAGTGCGAATATCTTGTCGACGGATTGACGGAAATCAATGATGTCAACGCCGAAACGCGTTTTCCAACTGAAATTTAATTCAACTAAAATCATTCGAGACGTTTTCAGTATGCGTAATGGGTTCGCCGTTTGAAAACCGAAAGCGAATAACCGCGTTTCGCCCGCGAAAATAAGGGCGACGGACAAGAAACCGATAACGTAACCGTTTTAGAACGAATTATTATTTTCCGTTAACACTTCCCGAGACGATAATGAGTGTTTCCGGTCGGCCGAATCGCCCTGTACAGCCGCCGCCGTACCGCTCCTCGCTATAATATTATAATAATAACGCAAACACCTTGCGCGGCCCACAAAACACGCGCGTCCGAAACGATCGAAACCGGCCGCCGATAATATTATATATTATTATTATCATCGTGTACATATAACGAGTGGTACACCTGTATAGCCGCTATACACGGTAACACAATACAATGGTTCGGTAATTGTGATAAATCGCTTTTATTTATTTTACCTCTCCTGCGGGCCCTACACGGTCTCTCTCTCTCGCCCCCCCCCCTCTCACTCTCTCTCTCTCACTCTCTTTATATACGCGCAGTCGTCGCCGGACGGTGTTTTTTTTTTCCGTACCGGCACACGTTCGGCTCGCGCACAACAATAATATAATGATTTTAAATAACCGAAAATCAATCACACGCGCACGACACATTACAATATTACAATATGGGTATGCGTAGAACATGTACGCGGGTACACGAGAAGTTTTCGTGAGCTTTGATGTTCGCCCGTATCGCGCGACGCCGCCCGTGCAGTATCGTCCGGTAAACGAGCGTAACAATGCGGTTTTTTTTTTTCTTTTTTTCATTCTCCTCGACAATAAAACGCGTACGCTATTATTACGGGTACCCGTAATTATTGTTCGTCGGGGAACTGTTTTTTTTTTTTTTTTCTTTCCTTTTTTAACGCTCATCATCACGTCTATCGGTTTTTTTTTTTTTTTTCCATTTTAGATGGTGCGTGTGTGGGTACGTAGCGAAGAATGCGTGTTGGTTTTACAAATACGTCTGTTATTATTATTGTTTTTTCCAGAAATCTCGCTCCGAGGTATCGAGTCTGCCGCCTTTTCCGAAAGGCAATTATTCCGGGGACGGTACTTTAGGGAGGCCGTTTTTTGATTTTCCCAGGAGTTTTCCCGATAAACGGGAAAACAGATATAATTTTAAGCAAATATCATGTAATTATTTTACCATAATGTGACAAATATATCGTTGATAATGCAACTTTATTTACCGGACTCCGCTCAGAATCGTTGTTCGTTAGCAATGTTTAACCGCTGCGTTCAGATATGCAGTGAATTTCCCCTCTGCCTTCCCAACTTTTCACCTACAACAGTGGTCCACCCACGTGCGAAATATGTCCGTATTTTTCGTTTTCGTTTCGTCGTTGTGGGTCGACGGCGCGGCAAAGAAATCGAATTTTCATATTTTTAGCGCGTCTTTCGTTACATCTATTATACACTCGTAAAATGTTACCGACGGCGGTAGAGCTTTTTTCTCAATACGGAAATTCCGCGAAACGGAGAGGTGGCACGAACACGTATAATAATGTGTCAAGGGGGTTTTATTAATCGATAGTTGAAACCGACTTTATACTAATTGTTGGAAAACGTATACCACAGACGCGTAACTATATATCAGGTATATATAAGTGTAACGAATAAAGATTCGAGTAAAATCAACAATAAATAACTAGACGAGGCGACGTCTTTGTTCAGAAAAAAAAAAAAAAAACAAGAGATACACTTTCAGGACAAAATCGAAAAATCTAAAACAATGAAACCGCTATTGCCGTGAATTTGTCCGTTTTTCCCCATAGTAAACCGCATAAAATACCCGACAAATGACGTCCATCAACTAGACACAATTTCCACTCCCCAACCATTTGTAAGGTCGCGGTTTTTGTTTCCATCGGGTTTCAAATACACCCTTACGGACTCTTGGAAGCATCTTGGTTAAAACGTGTTTACATAAATACTATTTTTATATAGTACACGCAGTGACATCGTTTCAGTCTTTGAGATGGGGGGCAAAAGTTTTGACCGGCCCGTAATAAGTCTGAAAAAAAAAACCACTCGCTATAGTGTGACTTCGTATCACATAGGCGAAATAACCAATTTTTTGAAAGTCAACAATGACTAAATAATATGTATATATATATATATATGGGGATACCTAAATATGATATCTATTTTAATATCTACTAGGTACACGAACACTCGGCTTTGAAGGGAATTTCACAAAAATTCATATCCTATTTTTGCCAATATGTATATGGAGTATAAATGTCTGATAAAACATAATGCCATGAATCATGTTTGCGGGCTTGCGGCCCGAAAATAGCCCGACATCAGCCCGTACCCGACCCAATAGCGATCCAATGATAACGAGGAGAAGGGAAACGCCTCCCCTGTCCCCTCCAAAATGATGCCACTGAGTATGATATGTACCTTGAGGAGATTTGATATTTCTATCCTACCGCCCGATTGTTTGTTAGCGAAAATCCCGATAGCTACAATGTATAACTATTTCGGTAAACATATTTTTGTTTAACTCACAAACATTAATAAAAATCAACAACATGAACTATATTGTAACGGCAACAAGTAAGCTGAGAGAAAATTCTACTCTAGTGACACGGCTCTGCTGTTGGTGTTTTTTTTATTTTTTTATATTTTCATTTTATACAAAATTAATAACAAAAAATTTATTGTTATATATACTCATACCAAATGAAATATAAATGAATTATCGGTATTTTTTCGAAAATATAATAATTGTACGCCGAAATTCAGCTTGCTATTAATAGGCGTTAATGCGTTATTGGCCATTTGAATTTTCAAAATTAATCGGAGAAGAAAAAATCGTATTTTCGGAATGGCAGAATTCTCGTATGCATATAATTTTGGAATATAATGTAGCGGGTATTCATGTGTATACCGAATCCGTACAAAATATCGAGTTTATATTATAAGGAACAATTATTATTAAAAATCGCATATACAGGGTGTCCCACGATGATCTGCTAATTGATAAAACCTTTTGTTCTGTTCAATATTTTTAATATGTGTTAAAATTTTACTACACTTAAAAAAATAAAATTCAAAATATAGCCATCTTTTAAAATTGATTATTAGAAAATTTTGGTGGTTGAATTTTTTGTTAAGATGTGTTCTTTGATTTTCTATTATTTTTCAAAGTTTTTGCAAATGTGAATATTATCTATATTTTGGTTATTTCATTACAATAATTAATCAGTTATTAGTCAGGGCACATGACAAGGATTTTTTTTTCCTTGACTTAATAGCATGAAATAATTTTATCATAAAATGGGTATTAAGTAGTAACTGGTAAATAGTCATTCATGTTGATAAGCAATATTGTTAAGATTGAAAAGAAAATTATTAAAATTTTCAAAAAATCGTAGAAAATAAAAGACCATACTTTAACAAAAGTTTTCACTACAGAAAATGTTCTAAAAATCTCTACGAACTGGCTATTTTGAATTTTTTTTAAAAAAAATTATAGTGATATTTAAAATGTTTAGTTTAAGTCCCCCTTTCCCTAAAAAGAAAAAATGTTTATATACAAAGTAGATGGATCCTAATTATTTAAAAAAAAAAACACATATCAAAAATAACAAAAGTTATTTTAAGTGGTAATGATTATCGTGGGACAACTACCTTTACGCTGCATATCAAACGAGCGGGCACCCTATAAAAAGAGCAGAAAATAAAAAAAAAAAAAAAACAACGATGTTTTGATTTCTACACGAGCGTGTACTACTGCGGATATAATAAATACCGCAGATCAGTGGCGCTCGCAGAGCAGCGATTTAGGGGGGGGGGGGTCAGAACCGCGTCGCGTTTCCCCGTTAAACGTTTCGAAATCGAGTTTTACGCGTTCCGACGTTATAATCTAATATTGTAATGTGCCGCGGAACGGAATATAACGGAATTTCGTCAAAAACCGTTTTTCACGGTGCGTAATAATAACGATAGTGGCTATATGCATTTACCGTTGTACTGCACACGGTACACGTTCCGTGTCCCCTCTATTGGAAATTGTCGTACTCGCGAACCCCCCCTCCCCACGCACACACACACACACATACAACACAACCTTCCCGACGGACAAATAAAATATCATGTTTCCATACGCTGCAGGTACGCCGTGCCGATGTACTCGCACAGTGTAGAACATCGCGCCCAAATACCCGTGTAACGTACAGAGCATACAGAGTACTTTACGATCTGGCATTTATCGTAACAATAATATCGCAATAATAACGCGCTCACCTGTGCCCATGTGTAAATGACACGACTTCTGGGGGGGGGGGGGGGGGAATAAACGGTTTTCACTGCGACCGAATCTGTCGCGCACCGCCGTGGCGCGCGCATCGATCGCGTGCATTTTATATGTTTTTCGACAAACAACAATAATAACGATTATGTCGCTGCACCGACAACTCTGGCACGGGGTACACATATTTTATTCGCACGATGCGCGTAAACATAGTATACGAGAGTGTGTACACGGCTTTCGCATTATATCGCGCGCGCGTGTGCGACTCGTCTGATGACGTCTGCGCACACACGCAACAATAATACCGTTTCTATTTTTTATTTTTTTGTTATTTTTTTTTTTTTTTTTCCCCAATTTATATTTCACAAGGATTCCGCGATATTCTTTCGCGTGTATTTACTATTTATGTATTATTATTATATTTATAAACGGGGGAAATAGAAAAATTCGCACCTATATTAAATACATATACATATATTTACATATATATATATATATATAGGTGCCTACGTATATAGGTACGTATACGTACTATTTCAAATCAGTTCATACATACATATATACGTATATATATATATACATTATAATATTACATAGTGAAAAATACCAATCGAGTTTATTCGTATAAATCCGTGTCGTCGCGCGTATAGTACGCGTATATATTATGTACACGGCGAGCGTCACGCGGAAACGATAACGTTTTCTACAATATCGTTTTTTTTTTTTTTTTTTAATACGTTTTATTAATGCGCGAGAATATGCGAACGATAAATCGTCGGGTCTGAAAATCCGACTTAATGTACATCGCTACAAAATACCGGAGAGGTTTTTATCCTTGTCGCTCTTATGTATTGTATATCGGCCGGATTACCCGTCATTTTTCCCGGGGTCCGTCCGACGAAAAGTGACTGTACGCGTTAGGTTATGTATAGTATTATCATCGGCATAAATACCGGTCGGGCAAGGTGGGCAAACGCCACGGGGCCCACGACAGACGAGGGCCCTAGCAGTGACCTAGACGTTAATGGACGAATGAGGGTCCTTTTGAATAACCCCCCCCCCTTTTTTTCCGGTTCAGTTTTTAGGACTTTAATGCGATATTTTTTTGCCACGGGCATCGGAAGTTCTAGTTACGCCACTGATTATTATGCAATTTAAAGTCCGTCCGTCGATCGCGCGTTTCCACCCTTATTCCTATCGCAGTCGACGGCCTCGCGACCCGATAATTTGTATCCGTTTAAAACGGTATACTTCGCTCCTCGTCCGCGACATCCGAATCGAATAATAATAACTGTTCCCTCCCTCCTTCCCGTCCCCCTCTGAAAACAAACATATTTATCGTATTGAAATATCATAAATCAACCGTTGCGCACCGCCGTTTTTATAGGGTTTAAATTTCGAGAGGAAAAACTACAGAATAAATTTTGCTCGTCTTGAATTTCGAAAAACTATAACCGCGATGATTTTCAGCCAACCGCGTTCTATACGTTTTTTTTTTCACGCGTTTGAATATATAGCACAAACAAACGAACTATACAAATAAATACGTCAATCGCTTTATTTTGCACTAATATTCGTCGGACACAACATTATTACGGGTGTCGTGAAATTATTTTGCGCGTTATGTTAACGAAAAATCCGTGTAAAAATAATATTTTCGTTGCGCGATAGTAATATACGGATATTCGGACGGTAACCGCCTAATATATGTCGCGACCGTCTTGTACGGTGCGTCCTCGAATTATTTGCACATGCGGTTCTACGGCATTTTAAAAAGGACGTCTGGCCGAGAATGGCAAAACGACTGATCGAACGTTTTTTTTTTTAACCGAAGGAGGATCGGAGTTGGGAAAACAACAAAACATGTATGAGTTGTTTGAAAAAATTGGCGTACGGTTGAATATTGGATACGGCTAACTGAATTCCTAGAAAGGGATTTAGGTATTATGTGTGGGGAGTAACGTATAGCGAAATATTGTAAGAAATGTGTTCGAATTTACCGTTTCAAAAATTAAAAAAAAAATTTATTTCGTATTTTTAATTAACAGGGGGAGGCAAAGAGATTTTTAAAAACATGCGTAGAATAAAAAAAAATCGGGAAACACCGATCGTATCTAATATGACGTACATGTTTATTTATTTCAATAATTTTATTCATAAATAGGCGGCCAAAACCATTCGTGTTGAAAGTTAAATTCGAGCGGATGCGAAATTCTCGCGATAATATTTACGAGTAACCAACAACTTTGGCATGGAGAAATAATGTACACAGCAGTGTATATTTTGAGGAATTTTCCGTCATTCTAACCCGATACTCGGCCATACGATTTTTTTTTTTTCCATACAACATGTTATAAATATTATATTATTTTACCTCAAACGTTTGGCTTCGTCGATGAACGGCCGTTTCTGGGGTTCGGTCAAGAGCTTCCATTCGGCGCCCAGCCGCTTGCTGATCTCGGAGTTGTGCATTTTCGGGTTCTCCTGGGCCATCTTCCGCCGCTGTCCCCTGGACCAGACCATAAAGGCGTTCATGGGCCGTTTGATGTGCTGCTGTACGGGCGCGGGCTGCTGGTTGGCCATGGCAGCGGCGGCGTCGTGAACCGCCGAAACGGAACCCATCCCGCCGGGTTGTTCGTGACTTTGCGCCCGTTGATGGTGCACGTGCTGCTGCAAATGGTGATGGTGGTGCTGTTGTTGTTGTTGTTGTTGTTGTTGTTGTTGCTGCTGCTGATGCTGCTGCTGCTGTTGGTGATGGTGGTGGTGATAAACCGCGGCTTGATGGCTCAGTGGTGACTGATGGTGCTGGTGTAACAGCATAGTGGCTGCGGCGGCGGCGGCAGCAGCGGCGGCCGCGGTGGTCATCGTGGCCGGCGGCGACGACGAAGTAGATTTGCCGTTGCTCATGGGGACGACCGCCCGGACCGCGGTAATAACGCGAGTTACGCGTTTAGTAACGCACGTCCTTTAGTGATGCAGTCCAGTAACGCGAAAAACCGCAAGTGTCGCTATTTTTGTGTTAGCGGGTCAGAGACGCGAGGCAAAGAACGCACCGTCGTCGAGACGAGACGAGGAACAACAACGCGCACGACCGGTCAGCTAAAGAGGGCCGCCCGTCACGGTGTCCGAAATGCGTGTGTGGTACACGCGGCTCGCGACGGTGGCGGCGGCGGCGTCGGCGGTTGTCCGCGCGGCGCCCCGCCAATCGCGTATCGCCGCCGTTCCCGCCTCTTATCGACCGCCGGCCACGTTCCCATTGGTCCGCGTTCCGCCGTCGCCGCCGGCGTTGTGATTTTCCCGCAAACAACAGACGCAACAAGTGTATTCGTGTGCTCATATTGTTATTATAATATCCTACGCGTAATGTAGACGATATTATACAACACGCGTGGGATGTACGGTGCAGGCGTTTGTTCCGGGCGTACTGGGCACGGTGCGACGGCGGCGTCCAAAATGTGCTTACCGTAACGACGGCAGTTATTGTAACTTGTAGGTTCCGTAATTATCGGAACGATTAAAAATGTAATCCGGACCGCTTTGCCGTTCTGTCGGTGCACAAATCGACGGGTTCGTGGTAACACGCGAAAATACGGGCACCACTAGAAAGCCGTTTCGTTACCGTTTTCAACGTCGTCCGTCGGCCGCTAAACATTCGAGATAGCCGTCCGCGTCATTTTTTTCTCGCGAACCCGGTCCCAGAGCTGTGTGGCGCGTATTTCGGAAATGCGGTCAGCGTATATAATTATTACTGTTATGCTGAGAAACGCGTTTAAATACAATAAATCGTTTATATTGACTCGTATGGTTCTCGCCGTGACTCTGCTCGTGTATCGTCTTAATAATTTCCAAAAAAAAAAAAATAATAATAATAATAATACTCGCGTAGAACGAATATATTATAGTTGAAAAAAATTGCGATGAAAACAACAGTATGGCGTACCATATTGTCGGTTGTAGAACTCATTCTCGACACCATTATCGCATGCAATATTCGTTACGAGAATTGTCCGGAAGACACAATTTAAGCGACGCGACTGCAGTTTGTAACGAAGAAAAATATATACGATTTATGGGTGGGTCGTCAAAATGTAATAGTTGTTGAAAAGTTACTTTTGATTTCGCTAATTGATAACGAAAAAAAAAAAATTAAAAAATTATTAACTAGAAAAATAGAATGTTAGAAAGTAACATAGTTGTTTCTCTTAAGAGGACGTTATACCCGTATCTACTGTCACAGTCAAACAACCGGGTAACATGCCAAAAAAAAAAATGCTTACGCAGAATAAGTAACACTAGCTTAATTTTAAGGTACTTATGTAATGAAATGTATAGAAAACAATATGTTGTAGGGAATGCCCACAGGGTTTTCGTATTATTAAACATATACGGTTCGATATAAAAGATACACATTTTTTTGTTATTTAAACAACTTTTTTAATAGTTCATAATTCGAAAAACACCTATGACCTTCCTTCTAAAATATTATTCTCCAAATACATTTCACAGTATGTAATTTTACTCTAAAATCAAAATTAAGCTAGTTTTACTAATTCTCCGTAAGCATTGCTTTAGCGTGTTACCCAGTAGTATCGGACTGAGACTGCAGTAGATGCGGGCAAACATGCTCTTGATAAAAATATAATTTCAAGTTAAAACAAATCGGTTAACTCGGTCCAGCTCGGCCTATATTTTCATCGGAACAGACGTAGCTATGGACGACCGTACGGAAGATAATAATTATTACACGAGGATATTAATACATTTCCCCGCAGACACTCTCTGTCCTTTACCTGCTGGCTGGCAGTAATACATAAAACCGTGTACATGATTATACGGGTATTATTATATCGTAGGTGCACGCCTTCTATCGCCGACACCCGCTGCAGTCTCTCATTATACCGAAGACGACGTAGATAGTTTCAACCACGTATGATTATAATCACAGTTTGTAATCTAATCTCTGCAAATTGTGTTCTCGCGGAATTATATTATAACCGGCCTGCTGTATTATAATATAGTCGGCAGAACCGCGTTAATTTATACAGTGGAATACTTTACCGGCTGCAAACCGTACAGAAATTAAATAATATAAATCACACGTATTATTAATTATAAATATATCTTAACTAGTCGTTACGTAATATAATTTCTCGAGAAGAGAAAAAAAAAATAGAAATATAAAAAACCTATAGACGATAAATTACTATATTATTCAAAACAATGAAAACAGTATAGTTATAGTATACAAACCAAAGGACTTGCAACGGGAAAAACGAGAAAAATAATCAGTTATCAATCAAATACCGTTAGGTATTTATAATATGTCCATTGTCCATGTAATAACATTTCAATTTGAAAAATATTTCGATACCGTTGATGGGTGTGCAACTGTCCTAGGAGGCAGTGGCGGATCCAAAGAGGAGGGGCAGTCATATGGAAATTACCCCCCTCCTTTCCCAGAACATATTATAATAAAACGCAAATACAATTTTTAACACATGAAATAACACTAAAAAATAACTAAGAACGTAGTATTTATTCTCAATAAAACCCCAATATGAATTGTTACAACGGCAATATAACATTACATATTTAGTGAAATTTGTAAGAAAAGGCACAAAAACGAATACTTAAGTTTCCAAAACAATACAAAATAATTGAATCGGTAAGTGTGGAAAAATGATTTTAAATAAAAATCCTAAAATAAACAATATTCCATAATGTTTGACGAAGCTATACTAAATACCCGCATCTCTCAATTATATCTTTAGTGAAATTGAACTTTATATAGGCGTACTATAAACCGTTGTATTTTAAATTTATATTCTTGAACTCTAACCGACGAACGTTGTTAATATTTGTTTTAAACTTTTATTATCATCATCGTCATTATTATTTTGACAATAGCATTGTGTGAATGCAAGTTAAATATTAATACAATAAGTATCAGCGTAAATACATTTACGCATCGTTGAAGTGAGGCATGACCTATTAAAGTATTCTAATGTAAAATCGATGACTAGGCATACAAAAAATACCTGTAGGCACTACTCTATTATGGATTAAGGAGACCAAATCTGGAGTTGGACAATTTTAAACTACTTCCTAGTGGATTCATCGTTACTAAGACGAAATATGCAAAGGGAGAATATACGAGGTGTCCCACCGTACTATACGTTAATATTTAATTTTTATATTTTTCAATCGCGTTTTTGTGTCTGGGTTCATATGTTTATAGAGAAAAATTGAATTTTCATTTTCATCCTACAATCTTTAGAGGAATATAACCTGTAATCCGTTCGTTTATCAAAATAAATTATTGTACATATCATTCTAACTTATTCTAACACGGTTAATCTAACATCCATACATATACGCAATAGTGAATCACAATCGCAGCACTGTTATAAAACCACGGTAAATAACTCTATCACGAATAAAAGTAATGTATACGTCTTCTCAAAAACATATATATATTACTGAGAAACTGTTTCCCCGGATATGTATATTAAATATACAAGATATTATCTGTTAACTATTACAAAACGTTTTTTTTTTTTTTTTCTAGTAATAAAGGGGTGGAAATACAACTTGTATTTGTCTCTGCATGCGTATCCTCCGACACAACACCCTATTGAAAAAAAATTTAAATATAAATGTTGGAAAAACACGATGGGACACTCAGTGTAGAGCGATTTTATTCATGTCTAACGGAAAACAGAATGACAACAAACGTGTAGTTTAAAAGTACATAAGATGGTAAGTATACCTTTACCCATTACATTTTTATATTATAGCAATATATTTTTCAACGTCTTAACAAACGTGATAATAACAAAAATTAATGATAATTTGTATTTATAGACTAACCATCAACTCTCGTCCGATGTTGCTTTTGTGAGTGGAACAAAAAACATTCAAAGGAGTGGAAGACCGAAGCCCCGTAGTCATTTCTTGGATCCGAGTCAGTGTATAACGACACTTAAACGGCATAATACGCGGCACGCAATCAGATAATTACACGTCATAATAATATAATATAATTATACCATCCATTACCGTTTATCGCATAACCGCGATGAACGTTTTATTCGTGTACCCAATCACGTATTGGATTGTTACGCACGAAATCGAAAATAACCGAGTACTACAGATTGCATTATACGCGCTGTACAATAATTAATATACACGCGCGCGCGTGTGTGTGTGTGTGTGTATACAGCTGCAGGAGATCCAATTAATTCAGTGTGTATACAGATAGCCGCGTTTCGAGACGTTATTATAACTGTACGCCAACTTTTATACAAAGATAATATCTGTACATGCCGCAGACGCAGACGTTCACGTTGCCAGTTAATTAACTACGGCGATAGCGATCGTCGTACCATTAAAGTTTATCATCGTTGCATTCGAATCTCCCGCGAACACTGCGAAACGTGTATAGCGGGTATAACCACCCACTCCCACCTCCAAGCTCTTATCTCCGCGATTGTTTCAAACTTACTAATTATTATTGCGCGCGCACGCTGCAATATAATATAAAGCCATTATCTCATCGTGCGCCCCTTTGAAAAATGTCCATTATAATATTTCGAACGGCTATAATACTCGTGAAAATAAAT